TAGTACAATAGTTACAATTTAAAGGAGTATATATTTATTCGGTTATTATCTTCAGGCTTATTATATAATGTTAAGCTGCTGACTTAAAGTTTAATCATGAAATAATGCATTGCTTACTCTTAGATTTTTAGATGACAAGCTATAAAGTATTTAATTTTAGTAATCATGCTTAGTTTCAAGAACATTCATTCTAATGCATTATTCATTTCTCGAATGAGCAAATTATTCAAATTTAATTAGCTACCAAATTAGTAGCAAAGACATTTAAATTGTAATTAGAAATTTTAAGTGAGAGTGACTTGTTTTTAAATTTCTATCGGCGGCATTTTGAATAATTTAATCCATCAAGCCAAGAATAACAATATTTGTTCTGCTTCGTACTTGTAAACAGGCTACAGTACATTAAAGCATCACCACGTGCTTTCATGTGTTTAAATTCGTGGAAGAATTATTAGCCAACACGGAGAAAGGTATAGATGGGCAATGGGCCAGGACAGGAATCTATTTTCAGTTTAACGCATCTGTCGTAATGCAGCCCTCTTTTTTATGCTTGGCTTGTTAGAGCCAAGATATGGCATTTTACAATTGATTGCTACAGATATTAATTACGATCCAAAAATAGTGTTCTAATTGTTGAAATCTTCAAGTGAACGGCCCTGCTTGCCAGTAAAGAGACTAGTTGAAGACTTATTTAATTGTTGCCTGAGATATGAAGTTTTACATAGTGTTTATTATGTACTACCAGTAGATTTTTGGTTAAGTTAAGCATTTCAAAGTTTGTGCATCAGCCTAAAATATACTCAAAAAATAAATTGTACATCACAATTTTTTTATTACCTTTTGCTAGAGGAAAAGAAAGTAATTTATTTTAAAATTGTAGATTTACAGAAATATACTTGTTTCTTGCATTTCTCCTTTCCCTGTTTAATTCCATGCTTAAAATTACTACAGAAATAACTACAAGTAGTTTTTTTGGTTTAGTTGGCTTGAACAGTAATTTTTAGTTTAGTTAGTTGATCAATAGTTTCTTGGTTTAGTTCATAAGCATTTCAAGGCTTTTGCCATCAGCCTAAAATATACTCAAAAGATAAAAGTGCTGTACATCACAAATATTTTTATTTCATTAATTCTGAAGGGAAAGAAAGGACTCTAAGGTAATTTATTTTAAAGTTGTAGATTAACAGAAATACATTTGCGCTCTGCAGTTCTCGCTTTTTGTTTAGTCGCTTAATGGTACTACTTCGAGAAAAGGTATTACTGGAATCATTCCAAAATGATGAGTTATATGAAGTAGAAAAAATTGAAAAAAATACATCTTGTAAATATATTTAAATTCTATTTATCTAGTTTTATGACAATGCCCAGGTCAATAATGCTCAAAAATCTTTTTATTTATACCTCCATAATACATTAATTCAAACAACAGATTTTGAAAACTTTCTATAATTACCTAATAGCTTATTAAGGAGTCCACAAGCATTTCGAGAGATATATGCACTGAAATCCTGCGGTAGCGAGCCCAGCCTATAAAGAACCCCCGGATGTGATGAAATAACTTTTTGGTTCCGTCCAGTTTCCTATACGTTTAATGTCATTATGAACTTACAAATGGGTATGAATTGGATATAATGAGTTTCATCTTGGACTGGAAATTGTTTGCATTTTTCAAACTTTCTTTTCTCAGAATTTCAACAACTTTCAACTGAAAAATGGCTAGTCCTTCAGTTCCCCTTGTTTAGACTACTAGAATAATGAAAAACACCTTCAGGTTACTGTTCCTTTATCTCCTCCCCTACCGTCTTTTATATTACGTACAAAAGGCTATGCAACCAGTGTAACACGCAGTTCTTGGGAAACCAAGACATACAATAAACTTACTTCACACGATGCTATTGAATCAGATACCATTCATCCAGTGCAATGGCCCATGGACCCATGGACCATTCATCCATTGCAATGGCAATTCTGCCTTATAGGTCCGTTCTCCGTCCATTACTATGTTATGCTAGTCCAGTTTGGGCCTATATACCAAAAAATGCAATAGGAAAAAATTACAGACTTGCCAAAATTATGTTCTTAGGCAAATAATTAAAACGGAGTGGTATATCCGCAACAATAGAATTCACGAAGAACTGGGTATGGAGCAACTACGCTTACATTATTATAAACTTTCTAAAAGCTTTTATGAAAGACAAAAAACAGTTAACAACCATTAAGATTTGCAATTATGACTACGACGACCTAGCAAATATGGACAGCCTATGGCCCAACTGAATGTATATACTATGTAATATTTATTATAATGCCTTTACCGTTTATGTTAATCTTCTTTTATTGTATCTGCTATGTATTCTTTTTAGTCTTATGTTCATAGAATTGATGTCTTACTTATCGGATTCAAATTACCAGTGTTCGCCTAACCTTGTCTTTATCCACACGCTCACCAGCTCGATGAATTCTAAATTATTAATTATTCATTTTAAAAACTTTATTAGAAAAATCAAATTACTTTAGATATCTTTTAGGTTATTTCATCTTACCATTCGAAATTCGCAAACAAGGGGTAAAGCCTTGTCACTCAGGCAAAGAAATGCATTGGCTCAGGTACCCTGGTGTACCAAACACCGTTCCACGGAGACAGAGAGCTTTCGCTGCCTGGGACGGTCTCTTCATATACAATTGATCTCTCTTCGACTGTCCATCTTGAGATATAATTGATCATCTCTTTATTGCCCTTCTTAATATATAAACAAAGAACAACAAAAAAATTTCAAAATTACATATAAGGAAATGAATTTATACTGTATGTGTATATTTTTTTGAAAAACGTTTAACATTTTAAAAGTATATTATTATTATTATTATTGATAACATCGGAGTGTTCAGAGCCGGTACATCCGGTGCGACTTCATCGGGTGGCAGAATTTAGAGACGGTAAAAATTTTAGAATTAAGTGAAGCATTGAGCCGCAAAATTTCAGGATGGGCAATTTTTTAGAATTTAGGGCATACACTGGGCAGCACAATTTAGTGGCAGAAAATTTTTTAGAATATATAAAAGCCCAGGGGGAGCAGAATTTAAGACCTGCAAAGATTGCAACAGGGGCTGCAAAATGCCTAGCGTTGGCCCTGGTACAGGTCTACTTTTGAGTGCTTCATTTGCTATAAAGTAGAAAGTATAGAAAGATTGCTTAGATGCAAAATAAACGTTAGTAGTTCTTAAATACCAGTCAAATGATTTTTATTTAGAAAACTCATCTCACAATTAGCGGCACTTAGAGAAATTGTAAAGAAAGTTCGCTACAGTATTACAGTAGTTGGAACATTGAGATTGTATTTTAGAATAAACGGCAAAATTCAAAAGAACCGCACTTTCGCGTTTCTATTTCGTTTTTCCTAGTAATAGCGAAAATAACACTTTGAAATATTTCTCTCTTATCTAGGAATTCTACCTTATTAATGTCACAGTGATCATAATTTTATTTATTCGGGATTTTTATTCAAATGTTTCAATGGAATCAAAAATATGTAGCTGTTGAACTCTCATGATGAATTTTTGAATACTTTATGTAGAGTAAAAATTATTTTTTTCCCTCTATTAATTCCGTATGGCAATTCAGAACGTGCTTCGATCCACATGGCTAACTCCTCTAAAATAACGTTTCACGCAAGAATTGACCCCGACAAAAATGTACCGCCCAGGGTGGACTGCCCATCTGTAGCTACACCATTGATACATTTACTTATACATTATAATTTATAATAAATTTGCTGATCATCTGTAGCTACTCTATTGAAAAAAAGAGCTTTAATTGGGTCTTTGATTCCGTTTTTTGATTGAGTTGTGAGACAGCACTCTGTTACAGTTAATCATATAAGTGCGTATTTAAGATAGAAATTTTAGGGTGGGGGTGTAACTGGAGGGATGAATCTAAACCAAGATTTTTATGCTCAGTACTTTCTCGTGTAAAACTATTAATGTATGGTGAAACTGAAAAGCAACGAAAGAAAAACTTAGTTACTGTCCATAATAAAAACTGCAATTAATTTTAATAATTATGCTCTTTTTTAGAGTTTCTATTAAAGTCTTTTGGGTAATAATGCTAATCACACTTTTTGTATGATTCATCAATCAACTTTTATACTATTTATGAGATAATTCTTTTTTTTTTTTCTTTTTTTTTTTTTTTTTTTTTTTTTTTTTTCAGATCGGATATAGCGAACAAAGCTTCCGGTCCCTTTAAGTTTGCTATAGTGGGGTTTGACTGCATGTAATAAGAATACTTCAGCTGTTTAAACTATTTAAAGAATCTTTTATTGCCAATACATTATTTCTTATTAATAATTATTATGGTCAATTATATTTAATTAAAAATATATAATGGTACTTTAAAACGTCTCAGCCTTTTTTGCCCCGTGCACCCCTTCCACCATTGCTAGAAGTCATCTCTCCCTCTCCCTTCCCAAACTTGAGAAATACATATATACTGTAGAGTCATTAGGTTATTTTAATGCAGGAGTACATGAAAAATGAGCAGTGCTCTCTCAGGGAGTCCAACCTGGACCTCTCGAATATGCGCCGAGTGTGCTAACCGTTACACCACGAAGGCATGCTGAAAGGAGGGAGAAAATACCTTATATACTCCCCCTTTTAAAGGGCGACAAGTTATTAGGGGACCCAATTGCCAAATCCTGGTGGTGAAGCATCGTCATCCACCACCTTTTAGTTCGGGAGCCACTGTAGAGTCATTAGGATTTTCTTGGAAGCAGGATATGTGAAAAATGTGCCCTCCTCGGGACTCGAACTGTATCTCTCCAATACGCGCCAAGTACGCTTTCCAATTACACCATAAAAACATGAAGAAAATACCTTATAATACATTTATTTAGATTTAAATTATTTTCTAATGTGTTTTATGAATTAAAGAACATAAAGTATTTTGAAGGTAATGATTTTAAATCCTTATTAGTAATAGTATTTTTTTTTTTTTTTTTTTTCAGCAGAAAGATTGTGCTTGCTTAGCTTGATGCAAATGTTTGATGTCTGACTGTCCAGCTGAAATATTCGAACGAAAGCCTGGAGCCTGGTTACATATTTAACTACCAATGGCCAAGAATGTCTTTTTTTTTTTTTTTTTTTTCCGTTGTGTGTGTGTGTGTGTGTGCGTGTTCGGTAAAGAATAGACCGGAAAGACCAAATCCACAGGCATTTAACACAAATCTTGAGTAATTTCTTTCATTGGGTCAGTTTTTTGCAAGTTGTTAACATATAATTGTTTCTTTATCTTTAAAACACGTGACACATTCACGCACACTCTTTTAAGCTATATCTCGATGTCTTATTATTCAATATTTAGAGCAAACTTCATGCAATGATACCTGCGCCAAAATGTGCAAATAATAACACGATAATATTAAAAAATTAATCAAATAAATACTTGATTAGAATTAATTGTTTTAATCTCTTGTTACTAGAAATGATGCAATATTGAATTAATCTCATTGCTAGACATGTGTGAAGAAGGCTATCAATCGAATCTTTCTAAAAAAATGAGTAGAACTTCTTTGAGAATTTGGTATAGTAATTTTTTTTTCTTTCTGTAAAAATCCAAAGCACAACAGTTTGTCTCTAGATAGTCCTTGTATGAAACAGATGCTATGTATCCGAAGAAAGTTTATCGAAACATCAGTGACTAGTTTCCTAATCAAAATTTTTCTTTTTAAATATGAAAATAATTTGGCTTCCAGCACCAAGTCTGATCGAGAGTTGCAGATGGCGTAGGTGTCAAGCAGCTAACTGAATTTTAATGAAAATATTTAATAAATGCACAGCTAAACTCTTAAATGAATGGTTATCTGTAATCTTAAAATAGCCATGCAAATACCTCACCTTACGTTGTAAGGAATTATCACATTTCCCTGGTGTGTTGTCATGCAGTAAGCGGTTAACTTGCTGAGCTCGCAGCTAAAAGGTAAATAGTTCAAATCCGGACATGGAAAATACAACTGATTTTTCACGTTTCTCGATTCCGAAAGCAAATATGAAAAGGAAGGACATCAAATACCCAAAATTTTGAAACTGAAGATCTGGTTCAATGTTTGTCTTACGGGCGTCAAACCTTTTTATTTATTTATTTATTTATTTTGTAATATCCGAAATATATATGTAATGACAAAGTGACCGTATAAAATTGATTTCGTAATTCTTATAATATTTTTTTAAATTCCAAACCATAGATAGTTTCATCATTTAAAACTTTTTTGTAATAGGAAGTATATGTCTAAGACCAACGGTTGCGAAACTAAAGGCCAAGTAAGGACTTTTGTACACACGCTGTATAAAACTCCCACAAAGATATAAAATCTGTCTCGTAACAAAACGCAGAAGGGAATGAGACCATATTTAAGAGAGTTAACTTGAATTCGTTATAGAATTTCAAAGCATACTTTTGATTAAGAAACTGAAAAGCACCAATTAAAAACGATTGTCAACGATTGATTAAGAAACGATAGATTAAAAACTATAGTCAACATTTACCTGGAAGAAGGGAGGGGGAAATGGACTGGTGACACGAAAAGCATATTAAAATTTCGTATTATATTTCAAATATATCTTATTTTATAGACGAAACCATGAAAATATATGTATGAGTTCCAGATTCTTATCAATAAAAATGCTAAATTCAAACTTTTTTCTGCAAAATTATTAAATTTAATTAATAAGTTTTCATATTATTAAATTTTCTGTAAAATTATTAAATTTCATTTTAATTTACTTGAATATATTTAATTTTATTAGATTTTTTCAATGACTTTTTTACGTACCATTTATGCATTGTGTTCCCCGAAAAGTCTTGCACCAAGGTCACAACAAACACAAATTTCTCCAAATTTTATTTATTCTACTGTATAGTTTCCATCTTGTTCTTCTACTCTCCTCCAAGATTCCGGTAGCTTTTGAGAAAATAGGATCGCAGGATGGCGGCTTGCTGTTTAAGATAACTGAAATGTAGAAATCTGAAACATATTCGAATTAAAAGATGAACTTTTATATCCTTTATGTGATCCCAGTCCATTTCACCCTCCCTTTCTCCAAGTAATTGTTCACTGTGCAGTTCTATACTTTGTATTATAATTTTGTACTTTTCGCTTTTAGTTGATGATTTTCATTTTCTAAATAAATAAAAGTATTCTTTGAAATTCTCTGGCGAATTTAAATTAACCTTTATAAGTATGTTTTAATTAGGTAGACTCACCCCTCAAGAAAAATGAATTTTTCTTCACGAAAAAAAGGCTTTTCTAAGGGTCTGAATAATTAGGAGCCAGACAGTGCAAGATTCCAAAAACATGGTGAGTGTGAGAGAAAATCCCACTGAAAATACAGGAGCTTTGTTCACACCTCTAATGAAACATGAGATCTGATACCGTCGTGATGAAATACAACCACCCCACGATTTGTAAATGCGAGGCATTTAGAATTGACCATCGCCTTCAGTTCATCTAGTTGTGCAAGGCATGCAGCGAAGTTTACTGTCTGATTACAAGAAAATAGCATAAAAAAGAGAATTCCTGCAAGGTCCTAACAGATCAACAGCAAAACCTTGTTTGGATAAAGCCCTGCTCCGTTGCCATCTGTAACATTTTCCTGCAATTCCTTAATCCCGCATTCGTTCCAAGTTGTCATATGGAATCCAAGATTCATCAGCCGTAATAGTCTTCTGAAAAATATTTTTCCTGTATGCAGAACAGTTAATCACACTCAGAGATGTTGTCAAGCTTGTTGCTCTCAATCTGCTGATGAATCACCAGATGGTTGTGCACCGTCAATTTGGGAAAGCTAACTGTCTCTACAACCTCTTGAGCAGAGCCAATGACACCCCTGATTTGATCGTCTTCTGCTGTGGAGGTAATCTACAGTTCTGTGACGATAAGATTTAGCATTACCATACATTGAGAAAAGAAAAAACTTTGCTTCACCAATAGCATTAGGCAAATATGATATCCAATACTTTCTTTATGATAATGTTCGCCTGTCATGATGCCGCTGTTCAGTACCTGTAGCTTAGTATATCTATTCATCATAGTGCAGCCCCTAAATCATCACCATAAAGATACCTTTCTTGCATGCATTTTTGAAGCCCCTTTCAGACCAGATGAGCTGATATTTGGATTCCGAATACAGATTCAATCGATTCTCTTCAGAAAAGAAGGCATTGGCCCTTTGCTGCATTTTCTAGCTTCAGAGACTGAAAATGCTGGAGACGATTCTTTGCGCAATTGTAAGCTTCGCTGAAACTCTGTTATGTCCTCCTTACAACTTTACTATTCTGTTTTCGATATCGTCCTTCCACTTTAAAAATCATCGAGATGAAATCTCTGGAGACGTATGGAACTTTTAGGTTTGCAGACTCATTTTTTCACATTTTGAATTTTGCGAAAAATTCTTAGCTTGTCAAAAAACAAACTATTGGTTGTTTCTCAGTAGTTTGCTAATTTAACTGATTATGGCAAAGCACCTGAAAACTATCTGTCAAAATGAAGGGATGCTTTCGTAGAGGACGTTCTATCAGAAGCTGGATAGTAGTCATATTATACCTAAAGAAACTCACAAAAAATTATTTGAACTAGACCGTTTCCCAAGAAATCACCTGAGAACGAATTATCAGGGCTGCTTTTCATGTTTTTTCCGCATTTAAGGCAAAAACATGCCGATTTACCTTAGAAAGTTCTTCGGAAAGGCATTTCTTTCCTTAGCTAATATCTTCATACCTTTTGTAGTAATGAATTTTAAAAAATTCTAGTCCTACAACTAACATACATGAGAGCTTTCTCATATTCCGAACCATTATAAATACGACCCAGTTTCAATAACATTATGCATTATTTTGAGTTAAATATTTTAGTATGTGCCATAAAATACTAAAATGCGATGGATCAACACCTAGTAATTTAATTTTTATATGATGAAAACAAAATATGCAGATTTGTATATTTAAATGAAGTATCATTAATATATTACACGTGTACAATCATATACTTACCTATCAGTGCAACATATGCATATTAGTGTTTCACTGTTTTGACTACAGAGTGGAAAACTAGCCTTTGCACCAGTTAGAAGGCTATATTTCTGAAAGTATAAAAATTGCACTTGAGTCAGAAAACATAATTTTTTTTCTCATTAAAGAGAAGTATCAATGTCGGCTTTCCTATTATGCAATTAGCTGTTAATTCAAAGTTTCTTATGTGAAAATCTTAAAATTCAAACACGTAATTGTCAGTTTTCTACTTTTATTTAATTTATTTGCTGATGGTTTAAAATGTTTATTCTTACATATTAAACAGCATGCTATGATAAACTTTTAATAGAAAGTATTTTTTACTCTTGGATTTGTAAGAGCAATAAAATTTGTAATTATTGCAAAACATCTCAGTATGACCTTGTAATAAATAAATCAGACTTCAAGATGATATCTGAAAAATTTAAATAATTATGGAGAAAAAGGAAAGAAAGTGGCGATACGATGTCAACATCACCACCCATGAATCCACTTCCTTTACAGCCTTATGGCAAGCCTAGAACCCGATTTTTTTTGGAGGGGTTGTTGATACATCGTTCTTGCATTGCTGGCGATGGACCAGGTACTGGTTAGTCTGTAAATACTATGAATACATCCGTACTTTCCAGGTACCTCCGGTTATAAACTCTGGGCAACAAAAGGATTAAAATTTAATTCCGCGGCAGAGTCTTTAAATTATACTTACTTTTGGGCGTCATTTTTAAAACACTTAATTGAGAAACTACAGGAAAAGTAGCGTATGAAACCAAAAATAACAATCATAAATAAAATCAAGTATAAGCTAAAGAAAACAGAGAAAAACAAAAAGAAAAAAGTGACAAGAATGTCTTTCTCACCAAGCTATTATGACCAAAAGTAACAGAACAGGACCAATAAACCCCAGGAAATTTTCCGTACATAAGATAGTTTCTGCTATGTAAGACGTTTTCCCATTCACTACGCATTTAAATACATAATAATCCATAGCATTCAATTTAATAATTGAATTCATTCTTAGGATCAGCTAGTGGTCGTGTGGATGAGACTGATGAACACTGGTAGTTTGATTCTGTTCGAATGCTGGCAAACAGATTGGCTGCATGCGCATTTTCATGGTTTCCTCCAGAAATTCCGCCACAAAGGCATTCCTTTCCTTTGGGCAGAGAGTTTATGGAAGATGTTTTATACTTTACCATTAAAAAACGGTTTCATCTTTGAAATGTACATATGTATAATAACAGATGAACAAATAACATTATTGAATGCAGAATGCTTCTCCTCTCTGGATTGACTGTACACAGTTTTCCTTGGGTAAGAAAAAATCATTTACTTCAGAATGTAAATCTTACAGTGGCTGAGTGGTTAAGACCACTGATAGTTCGACTCAGGTTTT